CGGCACCGATGGAGGCATGTTACCGTGGAAGTAGTTGCGAGAACTGGGCATTAGGCACACCAGGAAGCAGCGTAAACGGTGCAAACGGAGTAGTTCGCTGATATTGAAGTGCAACCCTTTTAAAGGGCAGCACGCGCACAGGTCCGGTTACATTAATTTAATGAACTCAATCCCGTGCTTGGACTCGTCAGTCCTTTTGGGTCAAACTTAATTGCTAGAGCTAAAAGAATCCTCGATTTGACTGACGTACGTGCAGACAGACAAAACAACAGCGAGATACTCCTCCTTTGTGAAATTAATTTTTGCCTACCGACGCACAACAAGGATAGCCGACTTGCAGAGGCTTTTTTCGATTAACTGCTTCGTCGTAGGTGTCTTCATCGCCATCGTGCCGCGATCTCACCATATTCAGGCTGAAAGACTACACACAGCTCGGAAATGGTTGGATCGTGTTCAGCAGCATCACTCAGTCTAATTTTAATCAGTAGTAGTATTTTACATCCAAAATCGACTTTCTCTGGAGCGCTGTCTAACGAAATTCCAATCTAGGAATACCGAAGTGCAGGCTCTTTACAGGATGCATTCAAACCCTCGTGCAGAACCTGCAGAAACCGCAGAACTCCTCCTATTACACTTGACTTACTTGCTACTTTTGCATTAAAACGAAACCCTCCGCCCCAGTCTGGTCGTAGGCACACACAGGAAACCCGAAGACTGACGACAGCACATATATCCTTATAGGTAGACAAAAACTCAAAATCCATACTAATTTCCTAAATTGATTTGGTACTGTTCCTCGTTTTTTGGACTTTCGGCTTCGTAGTCCATCCCTCTATGTTCACCCTTTTAGATCGGGTCGCCAAGGCAGCTTTGTGCATGTTATTTCGAAAAGCTCGAGAGGTGGGTCAAAGTATGGACACTAAAGGCGACAACGGCTACACTACATCAACTTGGAGCTGCATTTAAGTACCGAAATCAATTATGACCGTTAACTCAAGATCAAAAAAGATTGACAAAATAAAGATATTGGCTAACAGGAGCATTTATTCGATCTCCGTATAACGAATAAAAAACGACTTTAACAAAGAAAACAATTCCAAAAACGTAAAATGGAGCAAAAGCAGCAAAAGCGCGAGCAAGGGATAGAGAGAAGCTGGAGGTATGGTTACTAGCAGCAGGTGTCTGCCGATGTGTTTAGGTTTGCTCCACAGCTGTTACTGCGCTGGCAGTTGATCAGTTACCTTCGGCTTGTAGACCGCTGACTCAGGGCGAACGGCTCCTACCAGACGGAGCAGAATGTAAACATTAATTAGAAGGAAGAGAACAGAGGCCAACCACAGGGCTAGCCACAGGCCCCTGCCCCAAAATCCGCCGTGAATTTCATGAAAGTAAGCGATCAGCAGCCATCCAGCCTGGCCGCCAACCCAGAGGAGGAGAAGAGGCAGTGCGAAAAAGACTACGTCCCTGCTCAATCCCAGGGCTTGGAGGAAAGTGGGGTTGGCAGCTTTCTCGTTTCTGGGAATGGAAACGCATGCCAGCGCAGACGGAAGAAGGACCAGCCACCAGAGGAAGTACTGAGAAGTACAGACCTAGACATTGGAAGACGGAGAAAACACAAGAATCAAGAAGCAGAGTCATCGGTCAATAGTCGCTGGTAATATTCGAATTGAAAAAGGCACGAGTCGTGTGAACGTGTAGTGACCCAACTCCACGTGCAACGCCCAACCTCCGGCCTCTCGTGATTATTGGCACGTATTCAGAAGTGTCTGCTGACCCTGATCAGGTCTGGCTAATCACCTCCTTGAGGCTGAGTCACACATGACCGCGCTGGGGATACCGCGACAACTTCCACGCTCTCGTACCTCGGACAACGGCTCTCACGGCTTCGGACGCGCACTTATCCAGTTGCCAACTTCCTCCAACCTTTTATCCACTAGCTCTGTACAGAATATACTATTCCTCCCACCCGGCGTGTCACATCTTCTCTTCTCACACGGAACCAGACCTTAAGATTGCAGCGGCTAGTGTCTCCCATATTAACTTAAGCAGCTGTGATAAACGTGTAACGAAGACGATTTCTAAGGAGACAGTTTACGTCCTAGTAAAGTTGATTTTAATTAAAATTATCTTTCGAGACCTTTTTGTGCTGATCCCGTAAAGTCTGAATGATGGTAGGTGACTCAAAATCGTTCAAAAGCTGTTCTCACATGCCCTTGGTGTGGACACGTCTACCCATTAGGCTTGGCCTTTATTTGACACTTCTGCAGTTAAAACATTACCTGCGCCATAAGACAGCCGCCATTACTGCTAATTTTACAGTTAGGTCCGGGTTCGTACACATTCAAGATCATTGAAACTGTGAGGTCCGTAAAACATACGGCACCGTCACAAGTAGTCACACTGGAGGCAGAACTCTTAGCAACCAACTAACCAGGCCAACTCGCCTAACCATACGGCGTCCGCGGTTACTACGTAATAAGCTGGTAAATATCTCCGTCCATTCACGCTGCTCACCGCCCCCACTCCTTCTGCTAGTTACATTGCTCAACCGCCCACTGCTGGACCTGCCGCAAATTCTCGAAATCCATTAGACGGTCGCCATGCGCAAGCGTGGATAAGGATAACTTATATGGCCACCTAAGCCGGCCAGAGGAACAGGAATCGCCCGCAATACATGTGGCTTTGTGCCAAATTCCTGGGAACTTGGGCTTATGACTAGCGTTAAGTTTAGGGTTAGCTTTAAGGTTGGGGTTAAGGTCAGCGTTGAGGTTAGTGTCAAGATTATATTACGAGTCAAGGTTTGGGTTCGTGTTAACTGTAGAGTTTAGGTTTACGGGAGGGCATGTGTTAAGGTTAAAACACTAAAAACTGTTTACCCTTCCTGAGATGTATCGCAAAGCCACCTGGTTTACGTGGGCGGGACGTCCCGGTTAATTTGTCCTGTTTAAGCGACCATACAAATCATCCTTTCCCAAATCTGGTAGCCTTCTAGACAACAACGAAAATAACAGCATCACTGATCAAGTCAGACACTTGCGGATCGATTGAAGCACGACCAGAGGACCATTAGCATGAGCCCTGGCCAGCATTCGTTCGTATCAAAACCCCCTCAGGTTGCTCCCAAGCAACCTTCCAAGTCAGAGTCTTTATCACACTGTGGTAGTTTCAATCGTGTCAGAT